TTGCTTGGTTGCTTGGTTGCTTGGTTGCTTGGTTGCTTGGTTGCTTGGTTGCTTAGTTGCTTACTTGGTTGCTCGGTCAGGGTGCTTGGTAAGAAGTACTTGGTAAGAGGTGCTTGGTAGGTGCGTGGTGAGAGATGCTTGATGAAAGGCCTCTTAATGTATTGATTCTGCCGGCAGAACACCAAGCAAGAACTCATTTGCCCGATGGCCGCAATCGTCCGCCGTATGCGAGCCAATCAGCCGCTAAAGGATCAAGTTTCATGAGCTGAATGCCGCGGCACACCGAGAAGACCACATAATCAGTAGACTTATCTAGCCTGACTGTGGGTTATACCGCGAGAGCGATCTTTCGTATTGATCATTCGAATCTTCAGCATCACAGTCGAGAACATCGAGTAAACATATGAGCCAAGAATTGAATACCTGCTGCGCTTCCGAATATGACATGTGAGAGACAGAGACAGCGAGCCCAGAGGGAAGCTAGGGCTCGGAATAGGTTCTTATTGATTTAACTATTGGTTATTAAGCCCCACCGCCGTCTCAAGAATCATTTCTCGAGATAGCTTCCCGACTCCACTTCACGTCCTTATCGCGTCGATAACAGAGCGAAAAACAATAAAAAAATAAATTCCGATGCGGGGAATCGAACCCCGAGCTGCTGTGTGAGAGACAGCGATGTTGACCATTACACCACATCGGATGTTGTTAAAGTAGGATTCAAAATAATGTTACAGGAGCTCTGATTGACCCGTGCAAGGTCTAGGTTCTATCCCCTTCGTCAGAGCTCAATTGTCTCTTTTGTGATTGTTTTTTCTCCTCCCTTGATGCGGGAGTCACTGTCCAGAGTAAATGCCTGGATGATTCTCCATCATGGTGGCGAGAGCACCCGGACTAGAGCCGAGTTATAATATGTTTGTGTATGCATAAGATGTTGACGAAGAAGGCTATTTGATTTTGCTGTGAAACAAGTGCTCAATGCCATAAAAAGAATAAAATCGTCCCTGCAAATTTTCCCGGAATGATGGCAAGCTAAGATATAGAACAACGATGTGCTCCCCAGACTCGACCGAATGATTCCAGCTTGGCTACTCTTGATAATATCTAGTCTGTATACACCCAGCGATCCTTTTATCCTCCGGTTCTAAAACTAGAGATCATATCAAGCATAGCTACCGCAGCGGTGCTGATTGGTGCGTCATGTGTATACAGGTGGAGCCGCCTGACGATCATGCCCGTCCCATTCCTACAAGCAGAGACTACGAGTAGGTCGTCCACAGATGAGCAAGCCTTGCGATGTTGCATATGCTTCGCAAATGCACTTGGCAGACGAGATCAAAACAAATATATTGCACCAGTCCACCCAGAGTAGAAGATAACCGACGCCGGCAAGAAAAAAGAACCAGAAAAAAAAAAGAATCTCCCCGACTGGGAGTCGAACCCAGGTCTCCCGCGCTTGTTCTCGTTAGAGATTGACAAGCGGAAATCATGACCGTTAGACCATCGAGGATTGTTGATGTCATTATTCGAAGATAAGCCTTATAAGCAGAGTGAGCTAGAACCGACCTAATCAGATCATCCACCTCTACAACCCCCCGCCAGGCAACAATCAACTCATATCTTTGCATCCCCAAACCACGCACCAATAAACAAAGTAACCAGCCTCAACCCAGAAAGAGCCTCAAGGCAATATATGCCCACCCAACCACTTAAATCTCAACCACCCGACTCCAACCGAGCGTATATCCAAAACACCACCAAGCCCGACGCGCAATGCAATCCATCAAGTACTGGTATATATAATATAACCCACGTGAGCAGATCAGTATCAACCCATCACTTTTACCCCGCCCTTGCAAAAGAATATGCCCGGAATCTTCGATCAGAGTTCGATGCAGGAGGTCAGATGTGTGCATGCGTGAGATTAATCTACACATTTTGGAGCTGGTTGGCCGGTTAGATTAAGTGCGTAGTCACGAGGGGAATTTCCAGTTTGTTCTTGTTCTTGTTCTTGTCTGTCTGAACTAGATGGGCTTAGGAGTACGTGTATGTACAGTCCATATAAGGCACATGTAATCCAGGTAGTGTGTAGTGGATGTCTATTGATGTTTCCTACTGTACATACTATTCGCCTTGAATAGGCCTTTGTTGTAGGCATGAAGTAATTAGTATATGAATTGGGTCCTCTTGTCGAGCTGATGTCATCCTCGTATACACTTGCTATAGTTCATGTGGGGGGGGAGGAAGAAGTCCCCGCGTGGTCGTTTGAAGTGCGGGGCTGAGCGATGACACTTGCTCTGAGTTTATTTTCCCCGGACGGGAGCAGTTGGGCTTCTTGGCGTGGCGGGGGCAAGGATCATGCGCTTATCTGCTGATTTCCTTTTACTTGTTTGTGTTGATCTGAGTTGTGAACTGTTGGTATTCAGGTTGGTGCTGTGCTTCCTAGGTAGGAAATATGTTGCCTAATGTTCACTGTGGTATTGGGTGTGGTGGTGGGATGTGCAAGGATAAGGTGGGGTCAGGTGTCAGTGCCACTCACCTCCGACTCCCCAGGTCTGGGCATGTCAGATCGGACGCTAAGTGGGGTATCATGACGGTGGTTGAGACATTATAGATCTAGAATGGGAGAGCAAATCCCAGGATACGATCAGCCAAAAGAATCACGCTTGATATAGTTTAACTAGGTCAACAGACCCTGTGAATGAATATAGTTATACTAGACACCTCTCTGCGAGGTACAGTGCTGTAACGATCTCATTGAATGCCAACCGAGACACCTGCAACGCTTGAACAAGGAGACACGCGACCACGGAAATATTGCGCTGTACGTCATGATCGACCCGGAAGAAGGATGCCCACGCTGTGCTTGCCAGATGAACGCCGTGCGACGAAGGAAAAAAAAAAAAAAAAAAAAAAAAAACAAGACACAATCGGTAATCACCACGCGGCGTGGCCGCCGTCCATGCGCAGATCGCTTCCCGTCATGAAGCTGCTGGCGTCACTGAGGAGGAAGACCGCAGCGCCCCGGTATTCGTTGGGGGTCGACAGCCGCCCCAACATGTTGTGCTTCGGCCACTCCTCACGCCGCTCAGGGTACTCCACGAACAGTTGCTCGACCATCGCCGTCACGATGTAGCCGGGCGAGATGGTGTTGACCCGGATGTTGTACTGCCCCCACTCCATGGCGAGGTTGCGACCTAACTGAATCACGGCCGCCTTGCTGGCATTGTATGCGGGACAGATGAGGCCCTGGGAAGCACAGGGGAGTCAGCGTGCGTGATGTAAAGATGACAGGGAAGGCGGAAAAGTGACCAGGTGTGTGAGGCGATACTCTCTGCTCTCAAAGAAAAGCCGGGGAAACAGGAGAAGGAGAGTAAAGAGGCACTCACCCGATTGGCGATAGTTCCGCTCATGCTGGCGATGAGCGCAATGCTCCCTCCGTTGCCAAAGCGAATCATCTGCTTGGCTACTGCCTGAGCCGTCATAAACACACCTGTAACATTCACCTCGAACATCCGGTTCGAGTCCTCGGCCGTGTACTCCAGCGCTGAGGTCTCTTGCTGAATCCCCGCCGCCGCGATCAGCCCGTCCATGCGTCCCTCGGTGTTGGCGATGGCCTCAATTACGTGGTGCAGCAGCTCCGTGTCGCGCACGTCGATGCGACGGTAGTGTAGCTCTGTGCCCAGTTCCTCTACAGCCCGCTTCTGAATAACGAAGAACTCGGGGGACTGGAACGCGCGTCACGTTAGATGGGAGCTCTAGGGATCTTAGCAGATGCCGACTTACTGGCTCTTCAAGACGGTCCAGCGCATACACTTTGGCACCCGCTTCCAGGAGAGCTTCAGCCTGGGTCAATCCGAGACCGCGGGCAGCTCCAGAAACACAGACCACTTTCCCTGCCAGGCTGAACTCGGGCATCCGAGATTTGGAGCCGAGCGCTGGACCGTCCTGGACCGGGACAGGGACCGGAGCAGGGGCGACATCGGTGGTTTCAATCGAAAGGGACATTGTGGACTGCGTAGCTGGTATGTCTGTGCTGGAGATGAAAGCCAGAGAAAGTTATGAGCAGTGGGAGCGGAAGACTTTGGGACAAGAATCAGTAGAACCAAAAAACGACAGGGTTGATGATGGTGGGCAGTGATGGGTGCGGTAGCTTCTTTAAATAATTCACAATAGCTCCAAGGATTACCTCAAGGGGGGGACAGGCCCTGGCACTGGGGAAGTCATGAGAACAGGAAAATCCGGAGAAATGGGATGGCAGCGAGGGACAGGTCGCCGTGGTCCAGACCGGGGGGATGCGTGATCGCATTTGGGTACACTGGTCACGGGCCTGCTCTGCAGCAGCATAGCAGTAGCTCTTGCAGACTGTATGGCAGCGATTCCCGATCCGACAATGCAGTCACTACGGACTCATTCAGCATTGCGCCCATTTATGGCTCTAATTACGACGGAGGCACTGTTCATTTACCGGGCTACGACGGTTGAAATGCACAAGCTTCCAAGGATACTCAATCAGACCGAAACACGCTCAGCGAAGCTCACTGATAAGGATAGCCACCCCACCCCACTACCGATGCAGTTGAATCATGATGAAGTAACGATATTGCCGCCAGACTATTGTCGCGTCCGATGGACGTGGCCTTCTTCTCCGGACAGCCTCTGCCAAGGCAATTGCGAAACCTAAGAATCCGCGAACGAATTGGGTGGAACGAGTACTTGGTATCGCGAGGAGAGAGCCTGGAGAGGAGATGGGAGTGCCAGTTGCAGTGGGGAGAGCCCGGGTTGCCGAATTGGGCAATCCGGGGCTGTGGACGGAAGCAAAGCCGGGCTCGGGAAGCGGAAGAAGCTCCCTTCAACCCTTCACGCATCACGAGGTATATCGCGGCGGTTCTGGAAGCTCTATCTGTAATCCACCACTTGAACTTTCGCCGCGCAGCCCGCGCGTCAGACACGGTTATTGCGGCGGGTCACGGGGTCTGGGGAATTGCCTGTTTGATCCATCTCGGGCCCAGACGCTCTTGGTCGTACCGAGACACCACGTCCACATTCCCCCGGAAGAAAAGCCCTTGTCGACATCCTACTCTGTGGTATACTGTACCTGGGACCTGATTTCTCTGGCTGCATTGTTTTTCTTTTGGGCCGGGATTAGAGCCTAATGACAGCCCCCTGCAGAGCTCGGTCTACATGTGTACTGTACCTGGTCTAAATGATAGCATCTAGCAAGCTTATCACCCGGCGGGCTGATCTCATTGGGCACTATGCAGTCTGGAACATTCGACAGGGGCTCTCGAAGCCCTGACTTACGGTGCATAACGGACTCCCTTCCGCCCTATGAATGCGATCGACAGCCATAGATTGCGACATATTGACCATGTTTGAGTCAATGAATGCTACTACCAAAGTAGTCAAGCATGTTTAAGCAAGCGAGTCAAGCCAAGATAGACTATTTGCATACAGAAGACTTGAATTACAATGGTAAAAGATGTAAGAAGTACTCTTTGTATTTCCAAACCAAGAGGAAAAAAGGTAGATCTCGGCCACCCGAGACAAACCCATGGAGCGCCAGCAGGTGACCCAGCAGAACCGAAGCTCCAGACTGGGCATCCGGACCGTTCGGACCTAATTCTAATTCACCAACCGGCAATGCCGCCGCTTGGCTCCAATCCTGAATCTGCGCTGTACAGTACCTGGTCCCGTGAGCAATATTCTCAAATTGACATTTGAGGACTCTGAAGCTAGTGATTGATACTGCTGTGTTCCGTAGATACTCTCGCGAGAGGTGTTTCATCTACTGTGCTGATCATACTGGACTTAGTCTAAATCAAGAGAATGCGTTATGCAATGCACGCGACAGAGAACCTCAGGCATTCCTTGGTATCGCGGTCCGGTTCCTTTCTCAATCTTCCCCAGGTTTCTGCCCCGGTCCCAGAATAGCAGCAGTGGCCCGTGCAGCCGCTCGCTAAGTACCCCTGGCCAGGATTGAGTCCATGTGACCAGCAAGAAATTCTTCCTCCCCTTTTCGACGTGATTGTGTGCAATCTTTTACTCACCCCATGGCTTAGTCTCGAAATTCCATTTGAAAGCAGCGTCATCCATTCCACTAAAACCCTCACAGGAAAGAAACTCAAGTGAAGAGACCAAGCAGTATTTAACCAAATTCATTACCTGTATCCTCTAGATGCAGTACAGTACATACAAGATCATAAACCCATATCCATACGAAACTCATGCTCTACAAAAACATGAACGCAGCCGTCCCCATCGCAGCAACCAACGCCATCACCCCCCGCGCCCCAGCACCGTCCCCAGCCGAGAATCCGCTGGCCGCATTCTCCTTGGTGCCGTTCGCCGACCCATTAATAGAGGTCGGGTCATCGCCCAGCCCCAGCGGCAGACCCTGGTAGCCGAAAGTCAAGTTCTGGGCGATGGACTGGTTGTAGCACTGCCCGTTGGCGACGTCTAGGTTGGTCAGGTCGTCGGCGTGCAAAAAGAACATGTACTGCGACTGGTTCAGGTGCTTGAAGCCCGACGTGTCGTAGGGGAACCGGTCGCCCGAGTCCGTGGCCGACGTGTTGCGCAGCCAGATGCACTGCACCTGACCGGGGAAATCCGTCACCATCTCCGGGTAGTCGCGCATCACGTCGCTGTTGCTCGTGTCGGCGATCAAAATGAATTTGCGCTCGGGGAACGTCTCGAAGACCCTTTTGAGTAGGAACTTGCGAATTGAGAGCGTTGCGGACACGTCGCTGAAGTTCAGGGGACGGGTGTCGAAGGAACCGCCGGGGTAGTGCGTGTAGATGAATTGCATGTAGTTTCGGGTTACTTGCTCAGGGGTCGTGGTCTGTTTGTTGTTTAGTATGATCACACTTTAAATGAAGAGGGAGGGGGCAAGCGCCAACGTACAAGGTAGTGGAAGTGCATGTCCGGGATGCTGACGGACCAGTTGCGGTAGATATCGGGCATGTTCTCCCACGGCGTGAACGGGCGCGCGAAGGAGTTGAGCAGCCCTTGCTCCGGCTCGTAGATCTTCGTGACCCGCAGGATGTCGTCGATGTCAGAGACGATGGTGAGCCCCTTCGGCGGCACCAGGTAGGCGGTACTGTTCCCGATCGATGCCCCCTCCACGTAGGTGTTGAGTCTCTGGATCGCCGAGGTCTCGTTGCCCGCGGTCAGGCCATTACTGTCGATCGGCATGAAGACATCGAAATCGCCCTCGACGGTCGTGTTGTAGGGCAAAGTTACGTTCTGTGTCCCGCCGGTCGCCTCCGAGGATCCGCCGCCGCCGGGCTGTCCGCTGGCGCCCTGGCTCGGGGCCGGCTCCAGGTGAATGGTGTTCACGGCAACGTGCGGCTGCTGCACAACCAGGATTTCGGCGGTCAGATTGCGTGCTTGCACCTGCTGCGACTCGGGCAGGTCCTTGATGCTCGTGTTGCCGAGGAAGAGGTCGGCTAGTTTGTTCAGATCGGAGACGGAGGTGTTGGGCTGCTTGTACACGTTTCCGTGGAAGCGCACGTTCCAGCCCGAGCTGGTCCAGTTGGCGTAAGGGTCGATGTTCAGGACATTGGTCGGCAATGCGGCCAGCTGGGCGCTGTTCAGGCCTAGCGAGCTCACCACGGCGTCGCCCGTCGGGAAGCCCTGGAAGAAGTTGGGGACTCCCGATGCCACCCACGAGGGGACATCGGAGCCCAGTCCCGACAGGACGCTGTGGATATCCGAGTCAACATCACTCAGAATGCCTCGGCCGGCGACTGGTACGACTGGGGAAGGGCGCCGCTCGACAGGGGAAGGGGTAATGACGGGGTCGGGCGGGGCGACATTGTTGTCGGTGCTGGAGAAAGCCGTCGGCGCGGGGATAGCGGAGGCAATTGAGAGAAGCGAGGCCTGCACAAGGGCCTGACGCGCAATGATCGACACCCTCATCTCTTCCGAGCACCCAGTAGTCACTCAACCGGAATTGAAATGGTTTCCAGGAAGGGTGGTGTGTGGGATGGAAATGGGGAAAAAGAGGGAGCGACAAGGCGAGAATTAAAGGCGATCAACACAAGTGACGTCACGGCTTCGGATATCGGGAACTCCACCGTCACCCACTCCCATTCATCGATTGATTGGCTCCACGCCGTCCCTTTTCCATGCAGGGTCCCTGAATTTCTGTTGTTCATCTGCGTCATTTGTCGATGGCTTGGAGTCTTGTTGGCAGTCTATATTAAACACCCCCATAAAGTGAAGCCACACCTCTAGCAAACAGCACACCTGCAGGAGCCATTACATCATCTGACTGGGCTGACCCTGTTTTTCATCTAATGCATTGCTTATTTTATGCACCTAATGTTTGACCAGAGCACCTTCGTTGGCGAGGCGTGGCGGTGAGACACGGCCAGAATTGGCAACCAACTAGGTAGGGCGCCGTGCGGATAGCCCTAGGTCAGACACAACTGCGACAATGAGATTAAATGAATATCATAGCCATTCAATACGGATGAGGAGTTGAGGTGGCTACTGGTTCTTAGGGCTGGGGCTCGGGCCTGGCCGGCGGGGGATCTCCATGGGCATGAGTCCATTAAGACCACTGGCAAGTGGGGTGGGTGGGTTAAAGAAGCCGAAGCGCACGCCAATCGAGTATAAACTGAATCTTCTACCAGGAAGTTGAAAGAAAGGGGGGTCCGGGGGTTCTCCCCCGGGACGCGTATATCTCTGGTACCATGAATTACGCCGGCGTTTCTGCGTCATTTGCGCAGCGTCTTTATCGTCAATCGCAGGCGATACTACCAGATGCATGACGAGCGCTGGTACATCGATATAGACTTTCCCAGGTTCCAGGCGATGTTTCGCCGGTTTCCCTCCATCGAGTCCGTCGTCTCGGATGTCCTGAGTGAGCCCGAGACCCAACGCCTCTCATGTACAGCGAGACCTTGGAGTTTGGATGTCAATCCTGAGGCTCCCATGAGTACATCCTGGCGGGCCAGCGATGAAGAAATGGGAGAAGAAATTGATCAAGAGAATAAGCGGGCTGACGCGGAAGAAGGTAGCTGGATAGTCCCCCGCCGCACGAGCTGTGGGAGCAGAGGGGTTCATTGCGCGATTTCACTTTCCTGACACACCTGAGTCTAGGGTTCAAGCTCCTGCTGTACATGGCCAAGGGAACTGACACTGTCAGAAAGACAGACTTCAGGCTGGTCGATCGCTTGCCGCTCAATGTGGAATTGCTGCTCATTCGGGGCTACCAAAGAGGCCAGTGCAAGGATCATGACGCCCACTCTTCTAGACACATTATTGTCCTCAAAGAAGGGCGGGGCGACCAAGCTGCGAGAGATGAGGGGCATTGAGGAGTTGATTCCACAAGCCGAGGACGTCGACAACCCCGATGATAGCTCAGCGGCGTGTGGGAGTGGGAGGAAGAGGAATGGTCAGAAGACGAGTGAGCAAAGGCTGTGTATAGCCTTTTGGTCTGATAAGCCACGTCAAGGATAATGAGCGCCTCCTGTCACGTCTATCTTCTCCTCAGAATAATCCTGTTCCGCAACCCGGGCTTGCCTAACATATGGTCTTGTTTTGTCCGGTTGCCGAAGGGCGCGCTTAGCATACATCCGACCGCACAGCCAATCATCGAGCTTCATCTTATCATCTTATCCTGAATGTCAACGCACAAACTGATAAGATAAGGCTCTTCCTCATGCTTGCAACGTGCCTCGCAGTCCACGGATAAGGCCCGACGAGTTTTGCGCTCTCAATGACTCACTAATAATGATTATCGCTGCTCAGCAGAGTGGAGGTGCGAAGAAAAGTAGACAGATCTGAGGATGCGCATATCACCAGAGCATAGATACCATCGTCTTGGCGGTTGTGTTGACTTGGCGCAGTCGAACTCAGTTCGCGATGGACGCACCCTATAAATTGGGGCTTTTTACCTAGACGATGAGCAGCTATTCAAAGACACCTTTTGTTTTCATTGTGTACTCTGGTGGGTGGACCCGGCTGGTTTTCTTCAATGGCTCGTTTTTCTCAACCGGCGTCGGGCTTGTCTGCTCCATACCTACTAGGCCTGGTCAGCTCTGTGGCCGCTCAATTGGTGTCCACAGGCATGTCTGTCACGCTCCAAGACATAAACTATTTCATCTCACCATATGTCTCTGGAAATGTAACCATACCCCCAGCCTTATTGTCCCATGTCCCGAGCGTCAATGGGTTCGCCCCAATCACTGTCGTGCAGGAAGACACAGCAGAGCTCTCTACTCTACCCTCGCTCTTCTCCACATGGTCCACCAAGGACGACGTCTTCACAGACGCATTCCTCGACGCTGTGCTTGTTCGCGGTATCTCACACAGCAATGTCACCAACACCCTCTCGTTGGCGCAAGGGCGAACGAGTGTCGTGGTTCCCCTCGAATCCAGGTCGATCCCCTCGGGCCCGTACTTCATCGAGCAGTCCACCGGCAAGCTGTACCCCGTGTACCGGCTGTACAGCGACTTTGCCGGAGCCTTCAACCAGCCCCTGCTGCAGAAGCCCGATGGCACGTTCCAGCCCCTATCAGCCCAGGTCGCAGGTGTTGCGTCGGCCACGATCGGCGTGCCGTCTCGGCTCTACTTCACCCCCACGGACGCAAAACCGTTAGCCGGCGCTCGTGTGGGCATCAAAGACATCTTCAGCATAGCTGGCGTAAAACAGAGCAACGGAAACCGGGCATGGTACAACCTGTACGGGGAGAACAACGTCACCGGCACGGCTGTTTCGCGCATCATAGATGCGGGGGGCATCATCGTCGGTCTGCAGAAGCCCTCTCAATTCGCCAACGGAGAGACCGCCACGGCCGACTGGGTGGACTTCCATGCGCCCTTCAACCCGCGAGGAGATGGGTATCAGGACCCCTCGTCGTCCTCATCAGGGGCCGGGGCCTCCATCGCCTCGTACAACTGGCTGGATCTAGCCTTGGGCAGCGACACGGGGGGCTCGATCCGTGGACCGGCAGAGGTGCAGGGGGTCTTTGGCTCGCGGCCCTCGCACGGCCTTGTCGCGCTCGATCATGTCATGCCGCTGTCGCCCGTGCTCGACACGGCGGGGTTCCTGACGCGCGATCCCTACCTCTGGGACAAGGCCAACCAAGCGCTGTACAGCACCAACTACACCTCATTCAGCGGGCAGACGGTCAAATACCCCAGCAAGCTATACACGCTGGGCTTCCCGGGCACAAGCGGGACCGCCAGCGACGCCATGCTGCTCGAATTCCAGCAGAAACTGGCCTCATTCCTCAACACAACCGCCACCCCCCTGAATCTAACCGCAGAGTGGACCGCAAACCCACCAGCCGATGCCCCCGCGGACGTCACCCTCCCCACCTTGCTGAACCTCACATACGCGATGTTAATCAGCAAGCAGCAGATCTCGCTCGTGCGGGACCCCTTCTACGCCGACTACGCAGGTAAGCACCCCTCCAAACCAACCTCCCTCCACAACCACAACCAAGAGCAAAGCCCAACCCCCCGCTAACCAACCCCGTAACAGCCAAACACGACAACCGCCTCCCCTTCATCGACCCCGTGCCTCTCTCACGATGGAACTGGTCAACAGCCTACCCGGACTCCGCGCTCGACGACGCCATCACCAACAAAACCATTTTCATGAACTGGATGGCGGAGAACTACCTCGGCCGCGAGGAGGCAGACCCCAGCCAGTGCTCCTCGTCGCTGATGGTGTACGTGGGCTCGAGCGGGCCCGTCTCCGGAGCACTCCGGAATCAGTACCGGAGTTTACCCGGTGCGCCTCTGGGGTTCGGCAGCAGCCGCATCGCGAACATGGCGGAGGTGCCGGATTTTGTTTTCCCGGTCGGCGAGGTGGAGGTGTATAGTGGCGTCACGCAGCATGATGAGAGGTTCCCCGTCACGGTGGATGTCATGGCGGCGAAAGGCTGTGATGGCATGATTGTTCGGCTGGCTCAGGATTTGCTGGAGGCTGGTATTATTAGCATGCCGTTGACGGGGGGCACGTTGGCTGGTGGGGAGGTTTTGTTCTAGCGAGGGGGATGGACGGGGGCTTTCTCTTTGGGCATGTAAGAAGTGGTTTGGGGATGTACATATGGTTCGGAGGGAGTATAGAGAGCGCTTGATCACATTATCTGGGCGTGAGGGTTCGGGAAGCGCGCTTCGCCCAAGTACCAGATACATGGGACAAGTAGCAGTATTCCCTTAGATCTGAAGATGATAGATTAGATGAGGATAAGATAGTAGTAATGAGATAAAACAAAAGGGCCCGGTGCAGAAGAGCGGGAGGAGAAACGCCGACAGGAGTATCCCAAACCGGCTATCCCTCTCTCCCCGGGCCAGATATTTTCGTGGCCATCATAACTCCTATTATCTGATCTATCCGCAACCAGTGAAGAGCTAAAATCGAGCCTGGCAAATAGCCACCTATCATGAGCCACGGATACGTCTTGATTATCGAGTGAGTGCCAGTCGCCGCAGGTGACGCAATGCGGTGGTCAACTCAATTCCACGGAGCTCACTCTCACAACTCCCAGCACCCATCGTTCAGGCTTGAATCCGGGCTGGATACCACTTCAAGTGCCCGGATTGCGTATATCAAGGATGCTCCACCAGCCGGGATTGGAACGGAAGGCGCTTGCAGGCCATGGTGGGAAGTAGCCCTCAGAGATCCAGGATTTCACCGGTATTTTGAGAAATGCACCATAGATCAACAGATGATGGTTTCGTCACGTAATAGTTTCTTGTCTCTACTTTCTTCTAAGATTATCTGTTTTTACTTTATGTTGTGGGATTAGAGAATGGTTTATGATTATTGATAAGGCCGCTTGGAAATCGATTGCTAGCTACTACGTTGTACGAGGAAATACCGCATACGCATGCACACGGAAACGGTCAAAGAAGACCCAAGTAGAGCAAAGGCGGGACAATTCTCCACAGTCTCCCCAATTCCCCAGGAATACCTTAACTCAAAGTCGGACTAATACCTGAACCCGGACCAGCTGAAAGCCGGATCGTAGTCGTATAAATCGCCTCGGTCTCTACAACGATATTTGGAACATTTCACAAGCCCTTTTAGGTGCACATCCTCATTCCGCCGACTCTCATCGACGGGGGGTTGCGTGTGATGCCAAGTCAGACAAATGCCGAGCATATCGCAGACGCTCGCGAGCTCGTGGGTCGAGTGGTAGAGATCCCCAGAAGGGTATGGACGTCCATCCTCGCCCAGATAACCACAAGGATATTTGTCGGGATCGAAGAATAACATCCCCTGAATTGCGATCTGGGCCAGGAACGGGATGCGGTCCGGGGCGCAGACCACCCCGAGGAGCTGCGCCAGCATTTCCTCCTCGCGCGCGAAATCCCAGTTTGTGATGCGCAGGGTCTCGAGCGATGCGGGTAGCTGGTCTGCCAGAGAATATTCTGGACCTGAAACTTTCTGTGCATGATCTTCAAGGCTTCCGATGAATGCTTCCATGGGGAGCTGTAGATGCCTGAGGACCCGGAAGTGGGTCAGCGATTTGAGAGGTGGCATTTTATTGCCCCTTGGGCTTTGGTCCGGTAGGTCACTTTGCGAGGTGTCCAGACACAACGTCTCGAGAGTCGCTGACTTAGAGGACAGTATCTCGACGAACCTGTCTGGCCGCAGACCACGCCCAGATGATCGGTCGGTATAAAGGCATTCATAACCTTGACCGGGCAAGCTGCCCACCTGGTAGGTGAGCTTGAACGACTTGAGGTTGGTGCATGGTAGAATCATATACGCGAAGGCCCGTATGGAGTCGCCTTGCTGAATCTCCAGATGTGTGATGGACGACGAGTCCGCTGGCGCCAGTGCATCCCCCAGGATGGAGTGATCCGAACACAGCAACAATTGCCCGGTGAGCGATTGCAACGACGGAAGCCGAAAGTACGGGGCAAGCTTCTCGGGGTGGTATCCACGGTCAAAAGTCCAAGGGTCTCCGTCACCCGATGAAGAGGTAACCTTGAAGGAGACTTCGCGGAGCATTTGCAGAAACTCCGGTCGGCCTCTTTGGTATGTAAGTAGAGGGTCCTCCGATGCAAAGTTCAGCAGCCGTTCTGTAAACTGGGTGCAACGGCCTCCCCAGAACCATTCCAGGCGCTCGATATTGGGAACAGGATATAGAATCAGCGCAATCCACGGATCGGGATTAATATAGCTCATCAGGTGGTTTCTCCATTGTTGAACCTCCGTCGAGCTGTCAGTGAATTGTTTGATCAGGCTCCATACGAAGTTGTCCAAGGGTTGTGGCGGTGGGCGAGCAAAGTCGTAATCTGTAAACGGGACGGTCTTCCCCAGACAGAGATACTTGACTTTAACAGCCTTAGAGCGATACCTGTGTAGGTATCGGGCAACTGTTGACAGATGCTCGGGCCTACAGTCGAGCACAGTCAGGTGCCGGCCTGCCTTCGGGTCCAGAAAGTCGGAGTCAATGAGACTCAAAAGCGCTGTGCAATGACCGAAGTCTTCCCTTTCTCCAATTGATTCTGCTTGGTCGTACATCTTGAAGACTCTGGAGCGAGAAATTCACTACTTTCAGAGAGAAGAAGATGGAATGATCTATAAATACCTGAGGACCACCTCCTCTTTACCGTTCGTGGACGGGACATTCTGGAGATCCTAACAAAACGCATTGTATTGTCACAGTCAGGTTTCGAGTCAAGGGAAGTCCACCACGGTTGCTGTCAGAGCCCTGTTGGCCTCTTCCTTTAAGTGCTGCATGTCTTCGTCAGTCAGACAATGAGGCGATAGCTCGTCCCGCAAAAGAACGAAGGAAGTCGTGGGAGATCTGGAGGAAAGCGTCAGTCGCCGGTGCACCTATTGGGGTTTAGCTCTTTCCAGCCCATCCTATTCATTGTAAGCATTGTCACTAAGCTGAAGCTTATTCTTTCATTCTCTCACAATGGCACGGCTCAACACTACCCTGGCATTGAGGCTGACAGGTGCGTGCATGGCTCCATTGTTCACTACCGGTACTTGTCAGCAAAGCCAGAATATGAAACTCCATCCAATTTCAGTCATAGAGGCAGAGCCCAAGCATACACCTGATTTTGAGACCTCATACAAACCTAGTCTATCGTACACAAACACACACAAATACAAATCTCCATCAAATTTTAACCAATATCCCCGACCACTCCCTTGGCTCCCAGACGCTCCACCACCCCCTTCTTCAACCGCATCACCCGCTCGATCTCCCCCGCCGGTAAACCCTGCCGATCCCGCATGGCCAGAACCTGCCGAATCGTCAACGCATCAAGAAATTCTCTCCCCGTGAAATTCTGCCGGCCCATCTCATCGGCCTCCGCTTCCGCCGCCTTGGCGATCCGTTGCCGCGCCGTAACGACCAGGAGGGCTGGGTTGGGAGCGGGTGGGAAGCGGGTCATGGGGTGCTGGTGGTTGGGGGTAGCTGCCCCGAGTTCCGCACCGAAGGATCGCTGCGAAGGGGAGAAGGTGCTCGAGGGGGAGAAGGTTGGGTTCGGGGTGACAGGACCGATGCTGCGGAGGGAGGCGGCGAAGTCCGGGTCGCGACCGTCGAGGTCGATGGCTGTTCGTTTGAGTTCCGGTTAGCTCTGTGATGTGGTTTCGGTGAAGAGGAACATACCGCTTGATTTTTCAAAGGATGCTTGCTCTTTGTTCTTGGGGTGGTATGTCGGACCGCGTGGGGAGCTGGATTGCGGGCTGCCGCGAGGACTCTCTCGGGGAAGTGGTGGCTGTGGCGTTCGCGGTGTTGATGCGGGCGTGGAAAGTGGAGGGGTGGTTGTGGTTGTGGTGGGCTGCTTTGGGAACTGACGCCGTGAAGCTGCCTGAGCGGCAGACTTCACGGGCTTGGATGCGGACGAGCCCATGGTTTTCGAAAGCGTGGTGATATCTGCAAGTTTGAGCCTTGCGCTGGAGAAGCACTGGCCGTTACTGCGGATCAGCCGCCGATTGCTTCCTCTCTTCAGAGGAACCCATCCGTCAGGCTAACCTGATCGGGGTCCCCGCGCTAGCCGCGCGGGTGACGTCAGCCGCCTCTAACTTTGGGTAGGTATTACACTATGAAGTAGTGGGCTGGATGATTGAGCCTCCATTGCCAATAACTGTTCAACTCGTAAAGGGACTGCATTGCTTCTTTTACACTGATCCAGTAAAGGCTCACCTAACGCTTAAGGTAAGGCGGCCTCTAATATACAACACCGACGGTGAATGTCACCCAGATCACTACCAGCAACCCTAGGTTGTTTAACGCAGACCGGCAAGCCGTCTGCCCTGAACCTCACCAAGAGCACGACTGCCGCTGACGAATGCGACGGTACCAGCCACCGCGACCGCAGGAAGGATCTGGAAAAGGTTCCAAGAGGTATAGTACAAGAAGAAGATGCCCTGGATAGCAAAGAGCGAGCCGAGGAAGACGGCATGTGGAAGGGGAGCCGACTTGAAAGCAGTAGGCAGGTGATTCAGGTTCACACCGAGGAACAGCCACTAGATTGAGTGGAATTAGATTGACGTCGAGCTGTAGCAGGGAAGGAAGCTTACCACGCCGCCCAGAACAGGAAGTGCAGCAAGCACCAGAGCGAGGAAGGCCAGAGTGATGACCAAGGGAGGGCTCTGCGCATCAGTCTTGAAAATGTGGTGAATTTCGGGGAGCTTTCCATAGCGCGACACTTCGACAGTGGGGACAGGCTCGTCGGGGTTTCGGCCCACCGTCAGCTTAAATGCAGCTCCATTGTATGCATCGGAGTCGCCAAAGGATCCGATAAGAAATCGCGCGTCCAAGGGCTCGGAGACGGAAAGGAACTGAACGGGAAGGTCTTTCTGGGTCTAAAGTCCATGTCACGTCAGCTGTGGTTGTCCCCTTCAAAGTTGACCAAAGACTACTGACCAGCTCGATTCTCGATTTGCCATTATCCTTCACGCTGAAGGGATACGAGATATCCAATCCGGTCTGAGGGTCTTGGAGAAAGAGGAAAACCTGATGCGCGCGTTTGGCAGTGCGGTCTTCCTGGGCTGTCAAGGTCACTTTCAGGGTATCGGCAGATCCGAGCGAGACAGGCTTGGAGAGGGCTTTGTTGTTAGGGATTCTGTCAATGGTTTCAAGCCAATTAGCTTTGTCGAGTTTCACTATAGATTTTACCGCAGTAAAACTGGGGGTTCTACATACGCTTCTCTGAATCCAGCACCCACACCGGTGCCTTTGGTGTGAACTGACACGGTGGCATCAGTGAAACCCCACGCGGAAGCTGCAACAGCGGTCGGCAGGGCGGTGGAAGCCAGCACGGTCAGCTGAAGAAGGGAATGCCACAACTGCATCTTGATACAGTATAAGGAACGCGACCAAAGTAGACAGTAGGAAACACGACTCGACACTCGCTGTGAGGAGAGGGTTGAGGGAATGCGCGCTCGGGGGGGATATCGGGGAGCGGGCGGAGAGGTGATGATTACGATTACTTGGCCAGAAAGGAAAGGCGCAAGTTGGCGCTAAGATAAGCGCCCGCGCGGCATTGGGGCAAGCGGCGGTCCAGTGACCGCCCCATCTACCTTGCGCAAGCCCTAATTTCCCGGCGGTCTCGATGAACTTCGGCCTGCCTGTCTTTGGCTTGCTTGCTGGACTTGATTGCTTGCCAAACATTTCTTCCTCGTTCCTCGTCCCCGGCTTTTTCGCCTTACCCTGCTACTGTTGCGCTTCCACAATACCTGATCGACTCAGCTGTCGCTCTTTGACCTTTGCGCCATGTCATCAGCCCCTCTGATTTAGTTCCGCGACCGCCCCCTGCGCCTGCAGTTCGTCTTGACGTTCCGGCTCCCTCGCCTCCGCTTCACCGACCGGTCACGCGGGATTTCGATCGCAAACGCCCACTTTGAGCATACTTGGACCGAAACACCGCATGTGAAGTGTATACACTATAGGTACGGATCCTCTGAGGTGTTGGTTTAGTGGGGTGTGTGGCCTGTGCTGCGTGTCAGCTTCCCAGGAGGTGCCGCTCCTGCTTCCTGTCTCCGGCGTTCTGCATCTTCAGTCTGGTCTAATTTCACTAACAACCACCCACTCCGACGCTGTAGGCAGTCCACTCCAGTTCCAAGTGTCGCCTTAACCGCCAGACTTCGGGACTTTCAGCGACAAACCACGATCCGCAGTAATAGCTCTTTGCCATCCGCTCCCCTGGCCTCCGAACTGTGGAGTGGTGTCGGGATAATAGGGCAGACCCGGGGACAATCCGTGAAGACTGGTTAACGAAAGGGGTGGGGAAGTTCGTGACGGACGCACATTCAAAAGTAAGAGAGAGAGAGAGAGATATCGAGTGCTCATTTACTCCCAACAACATTTGAGAGAACATGTGACTTGAAGATGGCGGGGCGTTCTGGTAGTTGGGGAACTCATTCACTGAACAAGATGCTAATAACACAACAGTGGTGGGTAGGGCTTCACTGGCAAGGGAACTCGGTTCCCCCGCCGCGTTCTCCCTCGACTCAACAACACCTGTATGTCATCTTTTCTTTCTTTTCTTCCTCTCTTCAACCCAACCCTGTGATTTTACAGATCTTTGCTTACCCAGCTTCCAGCGTGAGACTCGACGTAGCTCATCTCGTGCGTCACGTAAAACAACCCGTGAACCTGAATCTCACGCCTCTAACCACTCCCAATCATCCTACTCTTTACCTCCAACACCTCTGACTACCACGTTTGAAGAGTCATTACCATCAGCAAAACGACGCAAAACGCAACGGTCCGTAAACCAGGCCGCGCAGACTCCGAAGGGAAAAGAACCAACGGAGACACCTATTTCGTCTACCTCAAAGGGCCCGGGTGGCTCGTCGCAACCCTCTGACAGTGTCTCTAAAAGGAGAGAACGTAGTCGCAAAAGCGCAAAATTGAATGGAGAAGTGACACCCAACGCTCCGCCTCCGAGTGAAACACCTGTACCTCAATCCAAGTCGCGTCCGGAACAGTCGCAGTCGACGCTGCATCACTTTCTGTTGAAGAAGCCCCAGCCGAAGCGGCATTCTTTGGCCACCACTACCTCCACTTCCACCCCTCGTGTCACTTCCTCTGATCCTTCTACACCGCGGGCCTTGTCTACTTCCGCCTCTGCACCCCGTGTTGCTTCTACTCCTGTCAGTACTCGCAAGGATCCCAAATCCAAGGGCACTGAAACTTCGAAGAATAGAACCGCGAGGACTCCGGTTTTACTCAAAACAGAGTTCACGCCTGCAGAAACGGCTGTCAAACCTACCAGTGCGCAAGACAAGGGAACGACCAAACCTCAAACACCTGCTGCATCATCTCGTCCAGCAGCCCCTCGACTGTCCACCAGCAGAGCGCGGCGTACAGATCGCAGAACTCCTGCTACCGTCACATCCAGTCGCTTAAACCCCTCCACCACGGAAGGAGTATCTACCCCCACTTCGTCATCCAACATGGGCAACTCCAAGTCCGTTCCATCGCGTGCCTCCCAGAAAGGCAGCGTCCGGCCCCAGCGCAGCAGTAGCCGGCGTTCCGTCGTCGAGTCCAGGACCGACACTCCCAGTCAAGCTCCCAATCAAAACATCGACAATAGCAACGCCGGCGGCGAGCTTTCCTCGGGTCCAGAGTCACTCGCTCCGATGCCATCTGGCCGTGAATTCGCGGAGAGCATTTATTCGACCACCCCCGCCTCTGACGAGAAGGTCCGCGACCTTGGAACCCCGATCTTCGAAGATAACAACACCCCTGGCGCGACTCCTTACGCGGACAGCTTCCACTTTGAGTACGACACCGACATGTATCGCAACAACTTTGGCCTCGACGGTACCACTGAAACCCCCGGCTCCCCTACGGGAAGCTTGACCACGGCGACGTCGATGGGCAACCGCATCTCGACTAGGCTGCGCAAGCCGACCATTAAGGCTATGGAGTCGATTGAATCCGAGCGACGATACCGCCGACCTCCGCGCTCGGCCTCGGCTAGACCGGATGGGCCCAAGGGACCGCCTCTGGAGTGGGATGCGGTCGCCATTGGTATACAGGTCTTCGATTTGGCGAACGTGGCTCTTGCGCCTGAGTTTGAACCGCCCGCAGAGGCTGACGCTTGGCTGGATGAGCTCCGTGGTGAGTTCGCGGTCAAGCACGCAGAGAGGGAAAAGGCGCGGTTGGAGCGGGAAAGACTGGAGAAGGAAAGGGAGGAGAAAGAGAGGGAGCAGAGGGAGATGGAGGAGAAAGAGGCCGCGGAGAGAAAGGCTGCTGACGAGCAAAATGCAGAGAAAGAGGTTGCTGATGAGGCAGATACGGAGAAAGAGGTTCTAGACAAGGAGAACGAAGACGGGGAGGCTACGCATAAAGTGGATGGGGAGAAGGAGGCTACGGAGACACAAAATGAAGCCGAAGAGAACAGAGAGAAGGTGAACGGAGACAAAGAGGCAGACACGACGACGACTCCACTCGAGGAACAACTTCCAAATGAACCTAAGGCAAAAGAACCGGCCAGAGAAGCAAGCAAGCCCGCTTCCCCTGACAAGCAGCCCTCAGTGGAGGCAAAATCCGGAGACAAGGCAGAAGGGCCCAGTAAGCCAACTTTCTCAGGGGACAACTCTAAAGAGTGGACTGACGAAGATGGCTTCACCTACACAGGCCAAGTCAACCAATTTGGCGAAGAACTGGTGTACGTTGGCACCGAGTATGAATGGTATCGACCCAACAACACATACGGAGATGAGTTGCTGCCGCTGCCTCCCGTCCGCCTCATTTCGCGCGACCAGCTGGAAAAGGACCGCATCTTCGGGTTTCCCCCTCTTATGGGCGAGAGGAACATTCCACGCGAGACGAATATGCCCTTCACCTTCGAGGATGTCATGGAGGAGAGAGCCAAGATCAAGGCCCGCGACGCCGCGCGCAAGCGCGGCATTGAGGTCGATCGATACATGCCCTCTGCCGCTATTCAAGCCCTTATCGCCGAGCACGATAAGACTTCGAGCGACCAGGAGAAATCCGGCCCTGGTGCCGAAACCAAGGGTCCTGCCCCTCGCAAGCGGCGTCGTGGTGCAGAGCAACCCACGGACGCAGCACAAGCCGCCAAACGACGCCGAAAAGGAGAGACTCCCCCATTCACTCCAGACCAACCTAAGACCCTGCGTATCAAGTTGACCCTGAAGGGAACAGCTGCGGCAGCTGCGGCAGAGGGCACCAGCTCCCCGAACCCAGGGTCGAAGAAGCGCACCCGTTCGGAGGTAGAGAGCGCGCCCGGAGTGAACGGTACCCCGGACAGCAAGGCGCCCCAAACTCGTCCTACGAAGCTTTTAAAGCTCTCTGGCCTTCGCCGTGACTCGGCCTCCACCTCGACATCGACATCGACACCAGCCAAGTCGAATGCTTCTCCGGCCACGCCTGGAGGCGGGTTAAAAAACAACGCTGCGCCTACTCCTCCATCTACCTCGGGTCCGCAGGCGTTCACTGCCACTGACCCCAGTGCCACACCCCTAGGCACTACGCCCGGCGGCCGGCCGCGGCGCCGGGCCGCAGCCGCCTTTTTGGCGGAGTCCCAGACCCACGCCGAGCAGAGGGCGCGCCGCGCCAACGCCCGCAAGAAGGAGCCTGTCGCTTAAACGGCCGACGCCGGCCATTCACCCCTGCAATCCTTGTAGCTACTGCGATTCAGCTAAACAACAATCAGCGCAATTTGCCCCAGTCACTCACTTTCTTTATAACTCAACAGGAGAGCGGGTGGTGGATGGAAGGGGGAAAGATGAGCCTGGACCTCTCCATCATGCTTCTCGTATCTTCTTAGCACTTGTCATTTCCCTTTTACCAACTGCGCTGAAAGCCACATAACGATTACGCAACTCGGTCTTCTAATGGATTGACTGTTCCTCCATTACGACCATCAGCAGTCAAGTCCTCTCTGGCGAAACTTGACAGGAAGATGAGCCTGATGGTCTACTTGTCTCATGTGTAAATTGTTGACAATGGCATCTGTGACGGGACTCAAACACAGCTACTTCCGTCTCTATTTGCGTCTTCCAGCCATTATCCTGGTTGCTGCTGCTGTCGGGGCAAACCGTACAGGAACACGGCCCATCTCCAAGCCCAGGTGATCAGGAAAGCCAGCCAGAGAGCACGGTGACGCCAGACCAGCAGAGCAGCGACGGGTGAAATACCATGACAAGCATGACACAAAAGATAAGGCGAGAAGACCGGTATAAATACGCGAGGAGATTGCGCCGGCAGCAGCGATCGGTCGTCGGAGGCATAGAGTCGCAGCAGACTGAGAACAGAGTCACAGGGGTCAGAGCAGCAGAGGGTCTTGGGCCAGGTAAGATTTGGAAGCCCAGCGGCAGGGACATTTTCTTTTCCTTGTTCATTCCTGCGATTAGCAGAGCATAGCGACTGTTTTTTGTGTTTTGTGTTTGACGCGACGGGCGATATCATCCATCCGCATGTTATTTCGACTGGTTTGGGCCTTACTCGATGTCCCCTTTCTGCAGTGTATCTGTATCGGAGGGTTTCTGAGCAAGGTGCAAACCAGTTTCTTTTCACTGTAAACTATACTATTATCATAAGCTCCAGGTTTCTGCATTGTACTATTAGATTGGGATGGAGGGGGTATGTCATGGGCAGCTGGAAAGAGCTTCGCTATTGGCCGTGTACTGCGATAATACAAGTGATTCATCCAGAGAGGTGTCAAGTCTGACGGAACAAAGGATATTCCTACCTCCTACGATAGACTGTTCCATTCTGTTCTTCCCTACAAGGTTCCCACCCTCAAACCCGACCTAGGTAGAGATATTATGCCTCAGGCCACAAGGCATCCCACCCGAAAGAGCAACGACCGCAACCTCAAGTTACAACCTGACTTTTACCATCCACAACACACACGGCAACCATTCGCATCCAACTTGGAACCTTTCTCCATCACCTCTCTCCCCACCCTTCCCCCAATCTATCCCCAATACCAACTCTAAGAAGAAAAAGAGAAGAAATGCCCCAACCCAACCGCATAATCCCCCCGGTCCACGTCCGCCGCCATCCAGGCACAGCCGGAGCGGGAGTCGGAGCCCCAGGCTCAGGCTCAGGCGTATCTCCAAACCCGCGCAAACCGCTCTCCGTGCATGATATCCGTCAGACAAAGGAGTATAAAACCGCTGCGAGGAAGTGAGTTTTTTTTCCTTTTTATCTTTTTTCCTGGGCATCCAATGGATTAGTCAGTCTGTTCGTTCTCCTTTGCTTTCTTGGTATTGGATCTAGCTTAGCTAGCCTTGTTTGTTCTATGGAGGGGTGGACGGTGGGCGGTGTGCTTCTTTTTCTGTCTGTCTGGGCTGGGTTGTTTATGGGGTTGCGTCTTGTGATTGTCTTGTGTGTTGAGCGAGGGGATGAGTGACTGACCATGGAATAGATGGCTATCCACGATCGTCGCGTTGCCTGTTTTGTTGTATACTTCTTATATTCTTTATGAGCGGGGTATGTATTCCTTCCTTCCTATGGGGGTGGTGGGTGAGCTGGGTTGCTGATGCGGGTTTAGTGGTTGGGAATCAGAGGCCGAAGAGGTTGGTTGGGGAGCAGGGGCAGCAGCAGAAGGGGGAGCAGCAGGGGGAGCGAGGGGAGCAGTAGTGGGGATGTTCTGGGTTTGAGTCTGGGTTGGGTTTGAGTCTATCTCTAGGGATTGTGAGGGGATAGTCTGTTCTGTTTATTGTGTTTGTTACTTCGGTTGTTGGGGTTATGGTGTCTTGTCTGTGTCTGTGTCTGTTTCTGTATGAGTATGGTTGAGTATGTGTATGAGTGTGTATGAGTATGCGTTCATCTGTGTAAGTGTGTGTCTGTGTCTGTTTCTGTATAAGTATGAGTAGATGTATGTGTATGTATGTTATTCGCGGTGTTATAAATTGTGGTATGGGAGTGAGCGAGACACTTTTGCTAGGACTTGGTCATTAAAGCAGTCCCGTTGTGGCTGATTGAGCGGCATGCGTTACCAGTATCATGGATATTCGCGGGTCATCATGTCTGCCGAGCTGGATTGTCATCTATGACTCGTGCGTGCTCTACCCTATCTTCAACCGGTGGCAGCAGTCATATCAGGTCTCCTTCTACCATGGTGTAGGATTCATGATGCAGACCGAACTATATCTCGAATGATACACGCTTGCCCACTGGTCTCTATCACAGCCCACTAAATCCATCTAACTGGACAAGACAGCTCACTCTTCCGAGTCTTCCCCCCCATCCATCTCGTCCGGCTCCAGCGTCAATATCAGCCGCGGCAGGTAATCGTCGTCATGCTCTTCGCCAGAGTCTGTGTCCGAAGCCCAGGCCTCGGCATTTGCGCCCGCATTCCCATTCGTAATCTCGCAGACATCCAGAATTAAAGCCCCGACCTCGGGGAGGTCATCGAGCAGCCCCACGAACGCTATGACTCGTTCCGGAAAATCCAACACTCGATAGGCGACTCCAAAGTGATGACGCGGGTTTCTCTTCTCCTCCGCCGCTCGCTGCCGGCGCCGCCGCCGCAACCACGGGTTATCCGGCGGGAGCCTGTCAGGCCGGTTGGTGAGGCCGGGCTCGACATCGGGGTACAGGATGCCATCGGCGGAGGGCAGGGCCGTGGATCCCGTGCAGGGGGACCGGACGCGGTCCGCATACGCCCGTCTGGCTTCCTCGCGCGAGCGCAACAGCGCATCGTTCGGCGACCACATGATCGAATACGTGCGGCGGAAGGGAGCCGGCGGACCCGTGATAAACACGGCCCGCGACTCCAGCGGCTCCTTAAACCACAGCTCCGACAGCCCCGGGTGGCAGTCGGTCGTCAGCGTCAGCTCGACCACCGACGCCGTGAACCCCGCCATTACCGTCCACATTGTGTCCCACTTGCTGCGCAGGTACTGCTGGAATCGCTCCGGCTGGCTGCTGGCCCATATCGCCGCGTCCAGCGCCACGACGTAATGGAACCGAGGGTTGGGAACCGGCGGCCGCGGTGTGTCGTACGGTATGAGCATATGCGGCAGTCGGTGCAGAAGGTTCATGAAAGGTCGGTGGTCTGGCTCCAGGATCGCCCCGTCCACCAGCACGAAGCCTGAGATCCGGTACGCTGGGTTCGCGATCCACAGGTTCCACTTCGCGATGAGCTCGCTCTCGCTCCTCACGCACACCAGGCGGGCCCAGTGTGCCAGTCGTGCCAGCGCCAGCGGGTAGCGTTGGATGAAGCTGTAGCCTGCTGCACAGATCAAGAATAGCATTGGTCTGGGTCGTGGCTGCCTGGCGAGTGCACTATACGGCGGTGGCTGGCTCATGGCTGCGGAGGGAATGACGGGGTGTGAGGCCTGGGTATGGCTGGGCGTATGAGTGTTTGTTTTGGGAAAAAGTTTAAAAAGACCAAAAGTCTTCAGTAACAGAGACGGCGGCCTATATGGGAGGAAGCCTCTTTATAGCTTGAAGGAAGAATGAAACGCAATCTCCTTCGGAAACGGAGATTGGCTGGTGATTCTTGGGTCTCATCGTCTCAATACTGAAAATCTCCGGCAAAAGAGTTCGTGTTTGATCAAATACAACAGAAGCCCAAGGAAGTACTTCCATATTTGTTCTCAACGTGAGTTGGATAGACGTCGATCTTGGCGCGAGGATGAAGAACAATAGCTGTATGGTATACGATCTCCTTCATTGTGATCGAATATTCATTTGAAGGCTGACTGATGATCTGGAAAGCGTCATTCTTGAATTTCTCGTCCATCCTGCGAGACAGTCGAAGTGATGAAAAGCTCCGGTAGCAAGACAGCGAGACACCTCAGGCACCTGCAGAACACAGTACCTTCCTACTTGGGAAGCCAGCTGATGAGGCTCATTCTTCTGCCTCAGGCCGTGGTCTCATGCCGCCCTAAGCTCATCGCGTGAATAGTAAGACCGGCCACAGAACCCCAGTAGTTTGCATTGATAGATCACTAAATATGTCTAAAGATCGACCTTCTCAGCACCGCGCATTTGTATCAGGCGAAACATCATACGAAAGCTTAAGCAAAACATTGGTCCCAGTTCCCACCAGATCTAGCAAAGCTCAATCCCCGAACGAAGTCATCCCGCCGGCATCTACCCAGCTTGTCAACGGAACAGCCGTGCAGCGGAACCACACGGTCATTGACCAGCACCCGCACAAGAGGCTCCGGCTGAGCCTCACACTGCATCATCTCAACGTAGGCTCGCGCACCGAATGGCACGGTCCATGCGGAAGAGAACCCATCGGTCTCCTTCGTGGACTCCACCGTCGTCTTGGACAGGGGCTTAGTGCCATTGTACAGACCCAGGGCAAAGAAAATAGGTATCATCCCGTTGTCGTGCGTGAAGTCCGCGTAGAGGGTATAGTTCAAGGGAAACGTGGCAGGGTTCGAGTCCAGAGTGCGGTTGGTACTGGTCTCATCGTGAACAGCGGTATGTGTCAGACGAGCAATCAGCTCGTTGGTGAATCCGACACCCCGACTCGGGCCCAGGGGGTTCCCCGCACCGTACCCGTAGTACTTCTCCAAGGAGCGGAGGTAGTTGTACTGCTCCCATTCCTCGTGAGTGAAGAGGTCACAGAAAGGGGAGAGCTGAGTCTCGGGCTTCGATTGCGCGATGGTGTCGAAGGAGCACATGTCCATGAGGTAGACGACCTCTTTCTCCGTGAGGTTCACGCCCGGGAGGTTCGTCTCCAGCCGTTTCAAAATGGGCGGTGTGAAAATGGCAGTAAAGTTGGCGGCCACATCGTCACCCAGCTCGCTGTCCTCAAAGACCGTGCAAGTGCTGGGGTCCAAGGAGTTGTTGGCATTGGCGTTTTCCGAGATCACCACATTGACATAAGGCGCAAGCTGACCGGGCAAGGCCCGGGTGTCATTGAGCTTGGTGTCCTGAAAGCCTTGGATAAACTTATTGCCGGAAGCAATCACCCGGCTTGACCCAGAGGCACGAACGAAGGGAAGCGCGTCCTTCGCTAGAGATGCATAGCGCTGATAGAACTGGATTCCCGAGTCCACCATTTGCTGCTCTCCGAAGGAAGTCAGGTCATCCGACCCCAAGGTGTAGTTGTAGGTCTCGAGGAACGCATATTTCCCTTTGTAAGATGTCGCGCCAGCTTGGATCTTCGCAATCACCTTGGCATATTTTGCGGACTTGGACGCGGTGGGATACCGCGCACCGTGGCGGGAGATCACTTGTGCGAAGGTGACGTGGCAACCCTTAGGGATATCGGGGGAGATGGACGACTCATCTTTGACAGCGAAGTAAGGGGAGTATTGACCCCAGAGATGCGAGATCTCGGAGAAGCAATTGTATCCCTGGTTGACACTGTCGCAGGACGAGGAGTTCTGCTTGGAGGATCTGACCACCGGACCGGCAGATGCGCTGTCAAGGAATTGGACTATCGTTAATGCTAGGTTGCAAGTATTGGGGGAAGTAGCACACAGCTACCCAAGAGGTGTATCCGAGGAAGAATCCACTTACCCAGACAGGAGGTAGAGCGAAAGCAAGACCGAGAAGAAGCCCATTGCGCTCAGGATGCCAAATTTCTTACCAGAAAGCAGTAGACGACGACTACTCCCGGGGAGTCGGGGGTCCTCATATAGTCCCTTCATTGCGGTTGGAGAGCACCCATGGTTTAGTGTACGACAGTCCGGTCGGGACTAGACGGCTAGCACGCGACACTGCTCGTCCACGTGCGACCAAATGAAGGATTTCGAGGAGGATTAGATGGGTGATCCTGTGAAAGCCGTGTCTCCCTGTCTAGTGGACGCGGGAGGTGTGGGTAAGGAGTCGGAGTAGAGTGGTAAAAGTGGACTCGGGTCAGAAGAGCGGGCGATGCCGTACCGGAGAGAGAAGCCCGTGGTTCGTCCTGACTGGCTATCTGGGCACCACGTGGGGGGTTTCAGGATTCCTGGTTGGTGCAGCTGTTGCCTGAATGCCTGAGGCTCTACACGTCATTCAGGGAGCCTGAATCCACAGGTGTCAACGCAGGGCCGCTGGATTGCCAGATACCTCAGGCCAAAAGCCCTAGGAGGAAGGGGTTCATGCAATCATGGATTCAACTATACACAAATCATACAGCCCCTGTAGCTAGTCTGTGACCCCGTTGCAGTTGCTTGCACACAGTTACGCTTTCGTGGTGTGACCTTCATACCCTGGTCCATTCTTAGACACAGCGTCGACTGGTGAAGAACCAAGCAGAAAAGGCCCAAAGAAAGCGAGGGAAAATGACAATTGTACGCAAATTTGCTGTTCGTACTATACACAATCTTGAGGAGTATGAGGACTAGCTAGTAGTCAAAATAGCTACGTTGCCGCCCGACCATGATCAAGGCCAACACAATGCTACTTCGGCCTCAACGAGGTAACGGGTTCTAGTCACCGCGTTGAAGACGGACACAACCTGATCATCCGTTGAATTGGGACCATGGCACAGCCTAAGGTGCCACAACATGATCACCGGGCCGACGATCAGCAATATAGTGTCACATATGCAATCTTAACAGCGCCTACCGAATTTCAGTATGCCTCCCAAGTGTGAGCAACAACGACCAACAAAGAAAGAAGACCAGTACAGTTGTAGATGTCAAGAAATTCACTCCAACGTCAGTCCACGTCCAGCAGGAATGGCTTAAGAGACAAAAGGATAATAGAGGAAACACAGGTTGCCGCCTTTTCCATTGTATTGGTGTAATCAAAATAAAATTCAAGGCTTCCGTCATGCGGGTCGAGTAAAAGATGTGCTTTCAGACGCTCCGCCCAAGCAGAGAAAGAGTCTGCTTTGAGTAAGAACTTTTGGTATCCTCTTGCGAAATGAAGAAACCTCAGCACATTCCAAAGAAAATGAAAGAGATGAACAAAGGTGTCTCATCGCCATAAGAAAATGAAATGATTTGGCCGAAAGGAGTGACATCCCGCATAGAACTCCATAGAATGTGGCGAAGGGGCAACCCGAAAAGATGCGAACAGCCGCCATATTCATGTCAACCTTCTGGACCCCAAGTCCTGTTCTTCAAGAGCCCCGGGTCCATGCCCCCGAAACTTGTGCCAACTCCCGTGGTGACTTATCGCCGGGCATGATGCCCCGCTCTGCGTGCATCGTGGCATATGAGACCGAAGAGGCAGGCCATGTAACGGGTGGCCGAGCCGACAAGGGCATCATTTTTGAGTCCGATACAGAAGTTCTCGCCACGACAGGTCCAGGTAGGGGTTCCAAGCCTTCTCGAGTTACCTCTGGCCCGTGCCAAGCTGCCTGTTGATCTCGATCAGTTACTGGGAGAAAAGACGTCCGAAAGGCAGTTGGGGATGTCGGTCGGGCAGGCATCTGGCCGGCAGGCACTAGGCGGCTGTAATGATCACGGAAAAAGTCTCGTTCGGAGCGATAGAAGTCTCGCTCCTGAATCAAAGCCCGGATCTCTTGTGTCTGTCTCTGTAGGGCCTCGGCTTGCTTCCTGATCTCGTCTTGCTGCGCAGTGATCTTCTGTTCCATCTGCATCTCATTTCTCTTGCGGTTGCGAAACCTTCTTGACGCGTCACTATTGGCCTTTCGCTTCTCTGCCTGCTGGGACGAACCCGATTTCGTGTCCAGAACGCAGAGGATCATACCCGGGGGTGTCGGCTCAGCCGACTCAGCCCCGGGTCGTGGTCCTCCCATGGCCGAGGGTAACCGGCTCGTCAATTCTCCTGTCGCATATGAGGTGTTCCCGTATGGAGGTGCATGATGCGACATGGGAGTCACTGCTATTGCCGGAGAAGATCGGCCGAACTGACTGTAGGTCGAAACCGGTGTCGTGGGGCTCGTCTCCTGGGAGCTCGGGTTTGGAGTATGATTGCCACTCGCTTGTCGGCTATGGAAAGTTGGGGTAGACTGTACCGAGGCGGGGCCCATGATTGGAGCTGCAGCTGCATTAGGGGAGGTTGATGCGGGATGACCTGGAACTGGGTCGATGAAATGGGGCGAACTGGGGCCCCTTGAGTACGTCCCAAGCCGTGATGCTTGAGATAGAGGAGATTGAGCCGGGCCAGTCTTCAACCCATAGCCGCCTCCGGAAGGAACAAAACGAGCTGATGGCGATGCAGGGGCTATGATCGGGTGGCTTCTGACTCCCGGCGAGGAGGAAAGTCTCTTAGCTGGGTGTATCGAAGGTGAGGGAAACGGCATCGTCGGTGAAGACGGGTGTCGAGTGTGTGAAGACGATGCAGTCGGCAACCCATCCCCGTAGCCTTCCCGACCGTTTTCGGATTTGATGGCCGGCATCTTGGTGGGAGGGTTCAGGATTGAATCCACACCAATGGGACGAGATTGTGCACTCGAAACCAGAGCATACTCCCCGGGGTCCGACGATTGCCAGGAATGAGGCCGCGAGCGAACATGATCTGGGCTATCCGAGTCATCGTTCGCGCGAGGTCTCTTTCGCTCGAGCGAACCGCGAGTCTCGGACCGATGAGCATCGCTTATCGAAGGAGCAGAAAACGAGGGCGACATATGCTCCAAATCTCTCTGTAGGGATTTTTGAGACGACCTCAGGCATTGCGGGGCTCCTCCTCTCTCCAGATGAGCTGGAGACTGGCGAAGAGGAGCCTGAGAGAGGGAGTTGGTGGGTTGGGCGAGAGGGAAGCCGGGCAGCGAATGATATTGGGACGAAGAATGCACCGGATTGGAGTATGAAAGATTGGCCAGCACACTGAGTCCTAGGGTAGCCACGGTGACGAAAAGGGGAATTAGGAGCCCAAAAAAAGGTGATGAGAGGGGGATGGAAGTATAGCTGGGTGGCCACGAATCGAAAACGGGCAGCGGGAGAGCGTGCGCCGTGGGCAATCTTATACAACAACAACAACAGATCCAGGGAGATCGATGATAGCGTCAATCAACACTACAGTATATCTGACCAGCAAGATTTATCCGGTTGCAGCCGAATGTCGTAGAATTTGACCCAAAGGATGATGAGCAATGAACAATCAGCAAAATAGTGTGAAGTTGCCAGTATCAGTTTAGTTGAACAGAGTAACCAGAGTCAAGGCTCGATTAAAAAAGGATGATAGAGATGACAGACTAGAAAAGAAAATGATGATGCCTCGATTCGACCTGCTCAGTGAAGGAATTAAATCGGGGAAGAAGGGTAGGAAAGAGAATAGAAAGTGGAAGCCAAGTTCGAAGCACAAGGAACAACGCAGATGATAATGGTGGTGGTGGTGGTGATGGTATTGTACTAATCCTAAATGATATTTTATTTTTTTATTTATTTATTTATCGCTAAGGGATGGATCTGCTTCCAGCACAGACAGACATAAGCGGTTGATTGACAGCAGAGAAAGAGGACGAGAGAGAGAGAAAGAGAAATAGAGGAAGAGAGGAAGTATTCCGGCGGTGTGAAACGGAAGGCGATGCTTGGATGGAGAAAGCAAATAAGAGCAATAAGGGCAATAAGAGTGTGTGGAACCGACCCATGGATAGCGAGACGGAGAGGAACCAAAGGCATGGGTGGGCTTGGGGGGAGGGGGCGAGGATCTTGGGTCGTAGATGAACAACAAAGTATGTAAGACACTTTGCGTTAGGCAAAACATTAATTTGGATTTTTTTTTTTTCAAAAAATATTACCAATGGTCAGAAAGAAAAAAAGAATAAATGAATAAATACTTGATTTAGAGAGAGTGACGCACAGGCAGCTTGTTCTCGCAGCTGGGCATGAGTGAAAAAAAAAAGTGATTGATGGCAAAGGAGATAGAGAGTTGGATTTCAATGCCTGCAGCCCAAACTAGGTCGTTCTGTGGACTTACATACATACATGCACGAATACATACCGATTTACATACATATACATACATACAGCATACATACGCACAGATGAACGTACAGCACCTCTTAATGCTAATTTATCTGGTTTTTGTTACCTTTAAAAAGACCTTCGGACCCAGTAGCCATGCATCTATACGGTGGATCCTGATTATCCACCGGACTAGTCAACCCCCATTACTGGGACAGTGGGAATACTACACTCAGTACTTTCCTCAGAATCGCCCAAGTTCCGCGCCCAATTGAGAATCCATTGCACAAGCTATCGAGGTGGACACCCCTGTACGGACTGTGCAACTAAGCCAGACGAACAGATGTGCATGCACCCACACCGTCTGGGACTTTGGTCTGGTAAGGGTAGAGGTGCAGCGGCAGTGCTCTAACCCTCATCAATCAAAAGTACTAAAAAGAGGCGGGGGGAAGAGGGGAGGGGAACGCCATAATGGGTCCCGGGGGAGACGGAAACCGTCGAAAGTGGAAAAGCTATTCCTAGTTACTCATATAGTAACGTAACTGAGTAATTGACTGACTGAGAAACATGGAAGCAGAGAAGTCGAAGAGGCAGGGAAAGAAGGGTCTATCTGGGCTCCAGTAGGAAAACTGCCTACTCGGTCAGTAGAGCAGAAGTGACCTATCGGCTCTCTGGCTATAACTCTGTGGCCAACGTATGTATGTATTTCAATTCATCTTGTCGGTTACCGTTGGGGCGAATCTCTTAAAGGCTTGGAAGCGTTTCCGTGCCTCTCTCAGAATCCTTCGACCATCCTAATTCCTGTCGGTCTGAGGATCAAATTCCTCTGGCTGAAAAAGACAATCAGATACCAGTATAGTTGAAGTAGGCAGATGCCTAACTAGCCAGCTCCATCGTCCATAAACCCTCAAGCTAGTGAGATTACTGGAAGCTTTTAGAAGGGCGCCGTCACTTTGGGTCGGTGGAGGTCCCCGAGAATACGTGCTTCCCCTAGACTAGCTTCCCTACTCCTAGCTAGCTCAGCTCTGGGGGGGAAAGAGGGAAAGGAACTTGTCCAGTTACCCGCCGGCACGCTGTCGGTCGGGCTTTACAGAAGTCCAGGGCAGGTACCGACCGAGAAATGTGAGATCGAGGAAACAATCAAGCGGTATGTACGGTAATGTACTGCTGTGGACGGTCTGTATCATGCCGGTAATCAACGATATCTGTCGGTTGCCACTTACCGCCCTGGAAACTGGGGATGGTGGAGGAGAAGGAGGAGGAGAGGACCCATTTGCAATGAGCAGAATCATCAATCAGGCCACTCATTCGATTATCAGGATTCAGGATTTCATTGAGTTCATAGAAGGAGGATCCTACCCATAGCCTTCGGAGGAATTTCGTCTCTCACTTCCTGCCTCACGACGATCTCTGGATCAGTCAGTGAAAGCCGTGTCTATTGCAATCATGGAATACTCCACGGGTAGACGTCACCTGTCCCGTTCACTCATCCGTACAACGTCGATCAAGATCGATAGTCCGCTGTCGAATGAGCTAAAGGCTTCAGTTACAGTAAGTCATCGAAAGGCAGGGGATATCACTTGATATGAGAAGCAAAACGTGAAGCAGACGGTCTCACAATATGGCCGCTGCGAACGGTATGCCCCATTGAAGGCGGCGAGATGGACGAAGACAAGAGTCTAGGCAAGCAACAAGGTATGTGTGCACACACAAAGAAGAAAAGAAAAGAAAAGAAAAAGTAGGGGCAATTAGACAGCAAACCTACCGAAACTCAGCTCTGGGTGGATTTTCAGTCATCTCCTGCCTCATGAAACCCTCGGTTGACTCCGTACTGTACCACGATAATCAACCGCCCTTCCACCCACTGTCTGTCTACCAGCCTCAAACGGGGCCGACCAAGAAAGCCATCTATCTGGCAATCTGCTAGGCAAAGCTAAAACAGGCCCTTCGTCTAGTTCGCGGCGGTAAATGGGGCGGACGAGCTCATTTCTTCCACTCAGGAGGTATATTTGTCCCGAATCACGATGTCTTGCATGCATCAGTGCAGTAAGAAACATGCTTTCATCTTTCATCGTCCCTTCTGGCGGCCCCTCTTCCCCAATCCCAAGAGTCCCGACTCGCAAATTCCCTCCAGGCTTTCCCTTTTCCCTTCCCCTCTCCCCTCACCCCCGTCTGTTTCCCTCCCGCGCTACCTTCCCTCATCCTCTCTCGCCAGTGCGGGTGTCAGCCGGATGGGGTCGATGGATGAGCTAGTATTCACAAGCCAACTGCGGTTGCCAGAAAAGAAGAATAAAGGAGAACAGAACTACAACGTCCTCCGCGGCGATTCCCGTTGGCTATCCGGTCGTCTGTCTTGAGTTAAACTCGCGGACCGCATCCTTGGCAGCCGTGTGACTGGAATCGTGAGGGTGGCTCTGACTGACACCAAACACGAGTCGATTGGGCTGAGCTCGATCTCATCATTCGGATTGGCCAGGGTCCTTGGATGGGAAAGTCTCGTCCGTCGGTTGTACGCAGGCAGCAGAACAGACAGGTCATCAGTACTTCCGGGTTATCCCTCTCGGGTTGCCTGCTCAGTGGTCCGTCCGTTTCCGGCAGTGCTGCTCTGTCCCTATAGCAATCCTCCCCAGAGAGTCCCGAGGTGGTGGGAATAACCCCTTAAGAGCCGGGCTGAATTGTAGAAGCCGGCGAGAAGCGTGTTTCAGCTACGTCATTGGGCATCGATCACAGATCACGAAGCCCCCAAAGATCGCAAGTCAATGCTTGCTCTTGATTCCTTAATCTGCAGTATGAGTGAGATGAAGTACCCTACTCTGTAGCTGCGTTTCAATCAAGAACATTGGCCTGGTTTACTTCGTAGCACCTCATGGCACGGTACTTACTCCACGTACTGTACCTTACGCTGACCGGAAGGACGATCTCTAGACTACGGATGTCAATCTTCTCAGCACAGCCCATCGAGGCCCGCATCTAAAAGTGAAACACCATTTATGCGTCAAGCGTGGGTGATAAGCTCCCGATCATATTGGACGGTAAAAAGCCCGACCAACCGTCTGCAATCGAATCTCACCCCCAGGTCAAATTGCATGGAGACCGATCTACAAGAAGGTTTAACTCGCTAATATCGCCCATTCAGAGACTTGTGTGATAGAACCAAGGACAGCTGTTTTGGCTGACTGGTCCAGGTTCTCAAACATGACTGTCCCGTAATGTGCGCATAGCGAGGCTCTCCACAGAGGCCAGGCGAGCTGTTGCGAACAGTGGTGCATGATACGAAAAAGAGGGTCCGTCATGAACGACAATTCCGACAGATCAAAGGTAGTAACGCAAGGTAATTCATGTGTAACAGATTGTATACGATTTGCAGTGCACAAGAGTGATCAGGCCAGGGAGAATTGGGCAAGCTCTAGATCTGTCAATTTTATGCCGGCAGGATCGGTGAGCTGCTTCTGCAGAGGGAGGAGCAAAATCACTTGCAGGAAGTCCGGGCTGTTCCACGGGGAGCTGACTGGCCAGAACCTTGTCAAGTTCTTTTCAAATTGATGATCAATCAGGTTGTGTCCTTCAGCTTCTTTTTATTCGATTCTTATTTATTTATATATTTATATTTTTATTTTCTTTCTGTTCAATAATGGCCTTCTCGTGTAACTTCGAAATGGTTTCCATCTTGTAGTCAATATCCCGAGCCTGTACAGAGAAAGGGGTCGCGATCGAATTCGACTCCGGGCGCGTTCGAGGCCATCCTTTCAACATACAATAAGATATGCACAGACTAACGTCAATGCTTGCGACTTGTCGAGTGGAATAGCTCTACATTTCGGTGCCGCCTCCTTTCTCTGGCCGCACGAGATCGAGAATGAACGTGGGTGACGATGTGGCACTTGTCAAGGCTAAGCCTGGCCGAACGAGCTTCAAGGTTGAGCCTTGATCCACGAGTTCCAGGATCCATGAAAGTACTGCATCCAAGCGCCTGATTGATGGGACGGCTCTGTGGCACCTGCCAATAATGTTTGCCAGTGGCTCTTCTAAGGCTCTAACTCTGAGGCTAATGCTGTACGCATTAGCACCTCCATCTTTCATTGTATGCGGGAAGTGGAGATCAGATGTTCCGATGGCGATTCATCCGTCCGTTTGCTTTCCATCCAACGCAGACCTCCCCCAGCACCGGTCGGCGCCGGATTCCTTCTCCGCCTCCTCGTCCTTTTGCACACAGGCCCCCTTAATCATCTTGCTGCATTACCGATCTCGTTGGGGTGGGATCCTTGTAGCTTTGATTCCTGCTCTCCCTACCCATCTTGAGCCATGGTGAACGTGGGCGGGCCACTCGGTCGGAAAGCGTGCACCACACGAAGGACGGACAGACAGACAAGACACGGTAATGGGTCCACTACAGGGATTGAAGCAATCCTTCTAAAGTCGCGGCCTCGCTCGCGATCAAAGAGACGGGTGAGGAGAGATCTTTAGTTATTTGTTTGAAGAAAGGAGGACAGAAACTCGAGAAACATCGTGTGTGCCTTTCCGCGGTTTTTGCCGGATCTTCTCGCTCGCGACTAATTAATGCTAGCTGCGATCATACAGTATGCTGCTTGACTCATTCCTACCGTGACGCTAGATGTTGCAAATCAAGCGCCAGTCCGTCATGCAAGCAAGGCTCAACTAGCTGGCTCTTAATTTGTCAATGGCTTTGTTTTGGGCCTTTTTTTACTTTTTCTTACCACCCGTGTGTGCGTGTTGACGGCCTTTGTCCCGCTGATACCGCTTATCGCTTAAGAATAATCGAGAACACCTTCGGATCAACAGCACCCACAAGCAGTGAAGAAGTCCATCTTCCCATTCCTATCTTGGACGTGGTCCGCCGCTAATCGAGCACCAGGCAAAGGAATCCCAGTGGAAGGGAGTCCGACTG